TTTCAACATAAATCTAACAATAATCAAAAATGATAGGACATTTATTTTTTAATTAAATCAGGTTTCCTTAAAAAGTGGATGAAAGTCACACATTTTTGCAGAAAAATTAATTAAAATTAATTAGATGAAAAAAAAATAAAATGAAACATATAAAACCAACAAGACTGCAAAGAAGACATTAATGACAATCCAGTATATGCAATGTTAAGTTCTTTTCTGACCACCTTGACCATACTTATAGATTACCTTTATTTTCCCATAAAAAAATTTGAATTACTCATTCTAATCTTTGATGAAGGACCAGAGCAGGTGTGCAAAACCATGGTCCTGCTGGTCTATTTTCCTACAAAGTTTAGCTCCAACCCTAGTCCAACACACCTGGTCCAAGCAATGAAGGCTAAATAGTAGAGCCAGATGTGTTGAAACCAAACTCTCCAGTAAATCACCAAGACCAAGCGGTAGATCAGTAGCCCTTCTTCAGTGGTCAATTTGTGACGACAGAGATGCCCTTGGCTGGATATTTTTGAGGGGTGGTCCACGCTCAAACTAGCAGTGACACTGACGTGTGTAAAAAGCCATCAGCATGACTGTGTCTGATATACTCGCTTCAACATTACACACAGTACCGTGTCAGTGTCACTGCTGAGAACAGACTATCATCCAAATAATATCTGGTCATTAGTGGTCCTATGATGGTCCCTTTCCATCCAAATCATGTTTAACAACAGATGAGTGCAGACACAATTAAGGTGTGCACAATGTAATAAAAAGCATTGTACTATAAAAAACACAAAACATTTTCATTTAAATCCCAACATAATCTTTGAGCAGTGCCAAATAAAACAGTTAAACATTAATGAAGTCCTCTAAAAAGGTCAGATGTACCAACCAAGTGTTTTTTGATGAGTTTGCTGCAGTCTTCATTTAGGTATGTTTAAAGTGCTCACTTGTGGTCATTCTGAAGGAAACATATATAGAGCATTAAATCGAATCCCTACACAAATGTTACCTGTTATTGTTCACATAATATTCGCCTACTTTACTGATCAGAGCTCAACGAATTTCTCCATGGATTTTGATAGTCACTTAGTTAAGGAAATTCATCAACTGCATCTTGTGGTGCTTTTTTTTTTTCTGCTCCGCTTTGGTCCCTTGTTCCATACTGATTCACATGAGACTGCAAACCAAAGAAGAGTGCTCATTTTTTTTCTAAATTCACAAATTTGATTTTTCTAGTTTATGTTTAATCTAAATGTAAATACACTCAATACATTTCTTGTTTAAACAGTCCATGTACTGACCTCAGAACTAACTCCAGTGGCAATGCTGCATCTTTTGAACAATACATGTAAACAGTTGAGTTTCTAGGTAATTAGATACACCTTTTTTGTATGTACACTCACTGTCCATTTCATCACGTAAACCCACCATAGGCATATTCTGCTACAAGATATAGCTGTACAATATAGCAGTCACCCCCAACCCCATCCATCAGTGGAAAAGACCACCATGCATTTATATTGTTGCGGTCAGGACAAAACCTTGCATCCCCAAAATGGTGACTTTACAAGAAAGGAAAAAAAAACATTATTAAGTTAAAAAATTAAGTGGAAATTAATGGAGGAAGATATTTTTTTCCCTAATAATTTTGGAAAATTTCTACTGATCCATTAACCATTAAAGTCTGCCTCAATGTAAAGGCAACAAATTCTACATAATATTTTTTTCAAAATATGGAAAAAAAATAGAATAAAAATGTGTCCCGGCAGTGACGATATGTTTATAAAATATAAATAGCAAAAAGTGTTTAAATACGAACTAGCACCCTTAAACCCTGAGATTGGCATGCAGACTGCTGGTCACTATAACTACACAAACAACAGTCTCAAACAGCTTACAAAAAGGCAAAGAGAAAAATTTAAGACAAACATCAATCATTTTGATATGAATGGACTTATTTGCAGTTAATAATCACTCCAGCTGGTTTCCTGATACGTTTGATCTGCAGAGAGAAACTGACAGCAGGGAGGGAAAGAAAGGTCCGCCATCTCTTTGCCTCCAGTGGTGGTGTATGTACACTAATGTACAGGATGTTGTTAAACAGAACTCTATGTTGACCATAGTCAGAATGTATGTCTATATATATATATATATATATATATATATACATAGTCCTATATCCTCCAACTGCAATAAGAGTTAAACTCATTTGCATTTTAATTTAAATAGAATGTGCGTTTATATATATAAAAAAATAGAATGTGCGTGTATATATATATATATATATATATATATATATATATATATATATATACGCACTTTCTATTTAAATTGAAATGCGAATGAGTTTAATTCTTATTGCAGTTGGAGGATATAGGCCTCAACAGTTTTTAACAAGACAATATTAGTCAAGGCCTGTTGTTGTTGTTGCAGTTCTTCTTCGGTTTCTTCTTCTTCTTTTTATTACTATGCTAATATGTTAGCCTAAAAGAAAGGAGTTATTTAAAGCCTTATTTGAGCTGGATTAGTTCTACCAGATGTGGTAATGTAACGTGTTCAGTAATGTAATTTTCTGCAGAGGAGTTTTTCACAAAGCAAAATTTCTCAGTTTAGGGACATAACTTAAGCCTGTCCAATAGGAAAAGAACTGAGGAACATTTTTATTAGATGATCATCATCTTTGAACTCATCTGGTTAACTGAGAAATCCTTCTTTGAGAAATACCCCCTGCCCAAGTTTTGTCTGGCCCATTCATACAGTGTCTGTACATTTTTCTTTTACCCAGATAGCCTGGATGTACATGCCAGCAAAACAAACCCATGTTATGTTATATGCACAGGGCATATTAGCATTTTATATGTGGGCCACTTTTGGCTTACATGCTGTTTGCCAGTAGGCAACACTACCATATCTGAGCCAGAATTGGACCAGAACTGTTTTGGGACATGTTGGCCATATGAATTTTCTTGTATGTGGGCCACTTTTTGCTTACATGCTGTTTGCCAATAGGCAGCACTGCCATATCTGAACCAGAACTGGACCAGATCCATTTTGGGACATGTGGGCCATATGAATTTTTTGGTATGTGGGCCACTTTTTGCTTACATGCTGTTTGCCAGTAGGCAACACTGCCATATCTGTGGCAGACGTGGACCAGATCTGTTTTGAGACACATGGGCCAAATCCGCATTTTCAATATGTGAGCCACCTTTGGTGGTGCCAACAGTGGGCCAGCGGTGCCATATCTGTGCCAGAAGTGGCCCACATCCGCACGCTATCTGGGAAGATATCCTGATTATTCTTTTAATGCTAGTAACATTTTCCGATAAAGACAATCACCAGGTTCTTGTGCGAGTTTTCCCATTCCACCTTAAACGTAGCAGCAGTTACATTCCGGGGCTTGGGCGTTATACTAACTGCTGCTCCATTTAAGGTGGAAGAGGAAAATTCAAACAAGAAGCTAAAAGGAAGATAAAAATGGACAGTGACAGAGCTCAGGCTAAGACGAGAATCCGCACTGGTTTGGCTTTTCAGAGGTGGAAACAGATCTGTGACTTGCAGGGACTCAGAAGTGATGCTGAATTTGAATTGCTGGACAGGTAAGTTATGTTAGTTGTTTGCTAGCTAGCTACCAAAAACAGCCAGCCAGATTATTACTGTTGTTGAATTTAATGCTACCCTTGTAATGTAATGCAACATACCTTTGTAATTGTGAAGTTGTTTGAGGATCAGACACAGCAGTGCTGCCACTCACTGTCCACTCAATTAGACACTCCTACCTTGTCAGGCCACCTTGTAGATGTAAAGTCAGAGACGATAGCTCATCTGCTGCTGCAGTTTGTGTTGATCATCCTCTAGTCCTTCATCATTGGTCACAGGACGCTGCCCACAGGGCGCTGTTGGCTGGATATTTTGGTTGATGGACTATTCTCAGTCCAGCAGTGACACTGAGGTGTTTAAAAACTCCAGCAGGACTGCTGTGTCTGATCCACTCGTACCAGTGCAACACATGCTAACACACCACCACCACATCAGTGTTACTACAGTGCTGAGAATGACCCACCACCCAAATAGTACCTGCTCTGTGAGGGTCCATGGGGGTCCTGACCACTGAAGAACAACAAAGTAAAGCTAACAAAGTATGCAGAGAAACAGATGGACTACAGTCTGTAATTGTAGAACTACAAAGTGTACCTATATAGTAAGTGGAGCTGATAAAATGGACAATGGGCATAGAAACAAGGAGGTGGTCATAGTGCTATGTCTGATCAGTGTATATAGCTAATGTTAGCAGGCTAATATTAGCTGAGTGCTTGGCTAAGGATGCCTTTTTTGTGCTTCAGAGCTCTGTTTGGGAAACTTCTCATTTTTAAGTTGTTTTAGCTGTATAGCTTTCGCTAGCTGGCTAAATCACTAGTATTAGCCAATTACTTTGCTATCAATGTGTTTTTTTTACTTCAGAGTCCATCCTCTGTTGTTTGATAAACCAGGCTAGCCATTATTCTCAGATATTGCTACCATCTGTCTCCTTTCGTAAATGCAATATAAAATATATTTGGCTAACATTGCCTGAATAAACATCTGACTGAGTGGAGGCTTACATAACTCATGGACATGTGCTACCCAGCTCTCATATGAACAGCAATGTTAGTCAGCTATCAGTTATCTGTGGCGACGCAGGTAACATAATCATACTTTTCCCCTCAATTACGAAGAAAAGCTGTTCGGTTTAATCCGCTCGAAGACAAGGACTGCACCACAACCCGTATTACAAAATGTTCTTCCACACATTTCATGCAGTTACGTATTTCCACCAGAGCGGTCACCAATTCCCCAAATTGGCCAAACTTACGAAGTGCAGCTTTAAAGGCACGAAAATAGCCTATTTACTTCTAAGGAATAAAGAGGTCATGTAAAAATGAGTAAGGACTAATTATGGTTCATTACGGCATTCAAATATTACAAACAAACATCAGGGGAAAAAAAATAGAACAACAATATAGGACATAGGGCTTTAATGATTCACAACAAAAGGTTAGCAACAAAGGCTGAAAAAAAAATAAGAAAATTGTGGGAATGAATGCAGAAATAGACTGGGGAACGTACATACATTATGTAAGCATACACAGGTTATAGGAGGGTGGTCGATTTTTCAGAGGTATACGAACAAGTTGAATGGAAAAATTTGCACTAACAAAACAGTTATGCCTTATTTTTAAAAAGTTACTATAAATAATGTTGTGTTAATGCAAAGGTTTCCAAAGATATTTAAGAATGAACAGGATAATGAATGAACACTGTAGATCATAGCTCACATGTACTGGATTACTTTATAAGGGTAGTGCTTCTGTCAAGGGTAAAAATTAACCATGGTTTTAAAAGGACTCTCTATTGATACTGTTCTGTGTATTGGAATCTCCAAAGAACATTTTTTATAGTTGTCACAAATTTCATCAAGGTCAAAGCAGCCAACAGCTAATTTTAAGATATTACTGTAGCTGTAAATGTTAACAAGCTAACACAGGGGTGCACAACTCAGGTCCTGTTTTTAGCACTGATGCCCAGCACAGTCTGGTAATTTATCTGCTCAAACACACCTGATTTAATTATTACTTGCCAGGTTTTCTGGGTGTGTTTTGTGTAGGGAATGCCTGAACTTTGCTGGACATCGGGCTAAAAACTAAACTAAAAAAAATAAAATAATACACATATTTATAGAAGCTGTATGAAGATATGATTTCAACCCCAGTCATTGTGGATGGTCCCTCTCCATCCTCCGTGCTGGGGAGGAAGAAGTGATGGAGGGAGATCAGGAACAGACAGCAAAAATGGTGGTACATCACTACTTTCAGCTCCTTTTTCCTCCTCTGCTTTTAAAACACTGAAAAAGAAGTCCACATTACCATATCATATATTATTACTCAATATCATATTAAAGGAGGCCATGTTTTTGTGGAGGTCATGAATTCTACATGTGACTTGCTGAAACCCATGTCATTAATTAAATGGGTAGACCAGCTCAGAATTACATATGGGGGGGCACGGCCCAATGAGCAAAAGCACATAAAGCTACACTTACAATACCTAACATTTCTTTTTGTCATTTTGTTTAAAGGACAATCGCAATAAATCTTTTAACACAATAATGTCCAACATAATGGAAAGGTTCCCCATCAATTGAAGCTTTTTTCCTAGACATGTACATCCAAGCTAAGAAATACAACTAAGTTTTATTTGAAACATTTGTCCAGCACTAAACTCAGTATGCTGGGTTATTATTATTAGGGGTTCCAAGCATTGTAGGTACTTGGAGGGTTGGTGTAGTAGGCCCCACACTACTTAAGAGAGTGAAATGACCCCAATTGGTCTGATGGCAGCAATATAGAGGGTTGTAAAGTGGTTATTTGTATAACTCCTCTTTGCTTATTCCGTCTGTCAGAATAGTCATTCTGTCTCTGAGCTCACAGGTCATCTTAGAATGTTCTGTTCTGTACTTTTCCCATGACTGTCTATCATGGGTACCTAACTTTGAGACTTAGAAAAGGGAAGATTGTTTTAGTTCAGGGTGATAACACTATAATTTTTGTTTGCTCCCGCTCACTTTTGGGAGAACGAACCGAACCAGTGATCTGTGCACATCTCTGTATGATGACGTCTTGAAATAAACCAACCTTGTCCTCAAAAGTGCATGACTCTACCTAGTTTATTCTCAATAACTTCTACAACGACACCACAAGTGAACAAGAGCAAAATTTCACATTTTGGCCCCTATCCCCTGAACTGTGAGGCCTACAGTCAAAATTCTTGCTTCTACATAATCCTTGGTTTATTCCACATAAACGCCCCACTGGATTTATTTAGCTCCGCCCTTATATATTCCATCATAATTGGCAAAATATGTGACATATACATTTTTTGACTAGTCCAAGGTTTTTCAAGATATCCACACAATACTGGTCTGTAAATGTTCAGGGGAGTCTGGAGGTCAAGAATTAACAAAAAAAAATCAGATATTTATAAATAGTATGGCTGTCACGTGCCAATCAAACCACCCTGGGTTTAGCTTATTTCACATAAGTGTCTACAGATCCGGCTTGCTTTGGACAATTCTCATGAACCTTAACAGGCCTATACCCCGCATGAATCTGTGAAAGCCAACCAAGTTTGATACCCATAGTTCAATAGGTGGTGCTATAACGACCAAAAATCTACTTCTGAGCAACCACTTGGCCAACTGAGCTGGAACTTGGCATGCTGCATCACTGGTCCATTTTACAGGTAAGGTGTTAATGACAACTCAATCATTGGACAAAAATGGCCTCCACTGGCTAAACAAATTTTCAACAGGCATTTGGAGAGCTTAGAATTGGCCAATTGCACAAATTGAATGATGTGAAGTTTTTCTGCAATTGTTCAAGTTTGAAAAACAAGCTTTTCGATCTAGTCTGTGGATTTTAGTAATATTTTTTCAAATTTGGTCTTAAAACAATCTGTGGAGTCTGTAGATAAATAATTACCAAAAAAATGTACTTTATTGCAAACAATGGCCATGAATTACTCTGTTCAGCCTTGCTTTTTCAGACGTAAGAGGCTACAAATCCATCATTCTCTAATAACCAAATTTGGAAATATGAATAATAATAATAATAATAATGTTACATTTATATAGCACCTTTCACAAACCCAAGGTTGCTTATATTGTACAATAAAAATACTGTACAAAGTGATCGCCCAAGGAAGCATGCAAACATGCAACGTGGCCTCCATGGGCCCCTACAATGCTTAATCCAATGTGAATTTACTTAAAGGTCATTATTTTTGAAATAGTGAAATAAAGAAAAGATTACTAACAACTAAAAATTTGCAATAATATGTACACTATACGGAAAAGTATTGGGACACACCTCTTAATCATTAAATTCAGGTGTTTCATTCAGTCCCATTGCCACAGGTGTATGAAATCAAGCACCTAGCCATGTAGTCTGCTACATGGCTAGGAATGGGTCGTTCTAAAGAGCTCACAGAATTTGAGCATGGCACTGTAATAGGATGCCACAATTGCAACAAGTCAGTCAGAAATTTCTTCCTTCCTAGATATTCCACGATCAACTGGTATTACAATGGGGTATTATTATGGAGTGGTATTATTGAAAAGTGGAAGCATTTAGGAACCACAGCAACTCAGCCACGAGGTGGCAGACCACGTAAAGTTACAGAGGGGGGGTCGCCGAGTGCTGAGGCACATATTGCATAAAGATCGGCAACGCTTTGCTGACTCAATAACTACAGGGTTCCAACTCCCCTCTGGCATTAACATCAGCACAAAAAATGTGCGCCGGGAGCTTCATGGCAGGGTTTCCATGGCCGAGCAGCTGCATGCAAGCCTTACATCCCCAAGCACAATGTCAAGTGTTGGATGGAGTGGTGTAAAGCAGGCCGCCCCTGGACTCTGGAGCAGAGGAAATGTATTCTGTGGAGTGACGAATCATGTTTTTCTGTCTGGCAGTCTGATGGATGAGTCTGGCAAATGCCAGGAGAATGTTACCTGCCTGACTGCATTGTGCCATTAGTAAAGTTTGGTGGAGGAAGGATAATGCTATGCAGTTGTTTTTCCAGGGGTTGGCCTAGACCCCTTAGTTCCAGTGAAGGGAAATCTTAATGCTTCAGTATACCAAGGCATTTTGGACAAGTGTGTGCTTCCAACCATGTAGGAACAGTTTAGGGAAGGCCCTTTGCAGTTTAGACAGGCCCTCTCATGCTAATGTGTGCCTGCCCTCACAAATGCTCTTCTGGATGAATAGGCAAAAATTCCCACGGACACACTCCAAAATCTTGTAGAAAGCCTTCCCAGAGGAGTGGAAGCTGTTATAGCTGCAAAGGGGGAAACAACTCTGTATTAATGTCTAAGAGTTTAGAATGGGATGTCATAAAACTCCTGTAGTTGTAATGTGTAGGTGTCCCAATATTGACTTACACACATATTGGCCACAGAATCAGGAATGGCAGTATATTCTCCAGCCACCAGAGGAAGCAACAGCATTAAATGCAAATTACTTCAGACATTCATACAGTCATAGGCTTTAAAATATTTATCTTGTGGCATAGAAAGTTTCTGAATTTTCTGTATTCCACTGAACCTGACAATTTTGCAAATACAAGTCTTTTAAAAGTACAGTTGTTCCACAATTATTAAAAGTTTAAAGGTGATGATTTTTAACTACATCTTGAGGTTTTATCGAATCACCTCAAAATTGGTCTCAGAACAATCTGTGGAGTGTGAAGATAAATAATTATTAGAAACATCATAACTTTTAACCACAGCAATATTTGAACACATCGATGTGACCTGGCTTATTCTGACTTAAAGTGCTACAAATACATAAGCAATTGTCTGATAATAACCAAATTTGAAACACTTGTACAGAGTGACAGACAGAGGGTGTATTGTGAATTAATTTTCTATTATATTGCTCAATAATCACAATAATTGAAAGTTGGGAACTAGTTCCTAAAATGGTGCTTGGTTCCTTATTGCTCTCTACCAATAAATTGTCTCAACAAATGCAGTGTTGCTAAGGACCCCTTGTGGCTCACCATGAAAACATCTCCCTTTCAATCAGAAGTTGCTTGGTTTCAAATCCTGCCTGAGCTGTCCTTCCCAAAACAAAAGACAACCTAAAGCAATGAGAAATTTGTATCTTAAGAGCACTGTAAGACACTGAATATTAATAATTATCAAAAACATACAATGTTAATGGAGACTTATAGAGACTTGGACCCCTATGACTTGCAGCTATATTTATTATTATTTTTATTGTTGCTGCTGGAATTAAAGCTTTCTGTTGTTGACTAATTTATTGCCAACTATTCGATTAATTGACAAACCATTATGCTATTCCTTTTATTTTGCTTTATCACATCTCTGCCATCATTCAAAGTTCCATCTGTGTAACAAGTGATTTCCTGGTGCAACTAAAAAATAGAAGCCATCTCAGCCTCTATACCTTCTTCAGTGTGCACTGCATGCATTGTATGAAAGTCATTAAAGAGTGTTTTTATTTACCAGGAAAGGACACATCAGCAACTAACCAATGTCAAGTAATTATTGCAGCACTAATCATTATTATTACAAGTGCTTAGACCCATAGGGTAGTACTCCCTTGTTCTACTAAGGCACACGAGATGAGCCCAGATGGCCTTAAATGGGGCACTACAGCACAATGTTAAGAATTCAGTACTCAAAATGACCCTCCCTCCTGGAAAAAAATTATAATATTTTGAATTTTTTGCAAAACCCACTTTTAACATTTAGTACTATCGACAAGAGCCTGAACCTCAAAAACTACTGGAAAAAAAAAAACAGCAGTAACTTAAGAATGCTTTGTCTAATTCAAATGTAACTTGATAGGTGTGTGTCTCAAAAGACTTTGAGGTAGCCTGTCAACTGTGGTGCATGTATGTCAATAGGGGTCCCTATAAAGCTTAGTATATAAGAAAGCTTATAAGAAGGTTTATATGGTTGACCTGACAACTGAAAAAATTGTGGCCGCCATCAGCCAATCAGCTCTTGGCAGGCATTTGATAGGCTTAACATCGATCAATCATCAGGAAAGTTGGATGGTATGTTTATGTAAGGACCCTATGAAATTTTAAAAGTACTGGCCAATAGTGGGCACTTCTCAATTTTCCAACATTTTAATCAAGTATATATATTCCACATCACTTCACTTGGTGAAGACTGGTCTTCACAAGGCACTACAGTGCATAATGAGAATCACTGAAAATCCGATTTCCATTATTTTCTTTTTGCTACAGATAAAGTATCATGTGATTTAGTTTTTAAGTTGACCAACATTGCAATTACAAGTTATGTGAGAAACGGGACTGCTTGTGTGGTATTTTCACTTATTTTTTCAAAGCCTGCAGTGAAATATACCGAGGTCAAATGGCCAGTCAGTTCTAAACTTGGAAAACATTTTCATTAAAGGTCCCTGATCAATACCCAAAACATATGAAGGCCTTTTGTTAAACTCTCACTCCCTGTCATTTATCTTCTCTCTAAGAAAAAGGCCCCATTCTGACGCATTAGGCCTGAGCTGATTTGCACTTGGACCCACATACTGCTATTTGTGGATACATTTATTATTATTATTATTATTATTATTATTATGTGCCTTACACAAACTCTTCGCTTGTTGATACCTTCATAAAGAAATACTTTCACACATCAAAAAGCTATCATAACTTTTTATAGATTAATTACCTTCCCACCATCAGAGCAGCCCTGTTCTTCTCTCTTCTGGAAAGCCACTCATCTACTGAAGGTTGAGGAGAGGCTTCATCAAGCTCAGGGTCCGCCTTCTGACACCTTTCATCTTACAACACATTAAGTGATTACTGAGTTGCTTCTAAATTTATTTGCTTCTTTGTCTCATTTAAACTGCAATAAGCAGAGCTAAAAAATGATTTTAAACAGGTTTTGTGCACTCAAAAATGTCTTATTCAGCAATTTCATTCAATTTCTTTCACCAAAAATTATTTAATGGAAACAGAGCTGCTCCGTGGCAGACTCTTTTAGACCAGGACAGAAAAGCTGTGTAAACGAAAAAGAAGTAGCGATCCCTTTTGCCTATTTATTAAAAATAATTTGGTTTAAGGGTGGGTGATAACATCACAGTACTTGAAGACATTCATGTGATGCATGATTTCATGATTTTCATAATCTCTCAAGCAAACTATGAGGCAAGAGTGAAGTTTCAAACCAAAATAAGGGCTTGTTCAGCAAAAAAATCAGAAGTACCTCACCTTCAATCTGTTGCTCCAAAGCCATAATATCCTTTTCAGAGGAATGAGAGTAACGGCAACTAGGGCCAAAAACACACTGGCCTGAGAGAGAGAGAGAGAGAGAGAGAGAGAGAGAGAGAGAGAGAGAGAGAGAGAGAGAGATTACAAGATCGATACAAATACAGACAAGCAGATAGTGGTTCATGTGGAGTTTTTTTTGATGGAAAATTATCAGCTTCCTGAACTTTATATCACGATATCATTATTATTAATAACACCGTGGTTTTGGCATCAAGCACATCAACCTAGAGAAAACCAGCTCTAGAGCAACTGGACCCTCTCACAACCAGCTTGTTCAAAATCACATCCATACATGCCTGCATACATGCATACAGTTCTATGCAAAAGTCAGAGACCACCTTTCATTTACTTAATTTTCAGTCAACATGACAGATGCATGCAGGCATATACAAACACGCGGACACAGTACTGTGCAAATAAATATAGTGTACAGTAGGGATGCATCGATAACGAAACTGGTATCTGGCCGATACCATGCTCATGCTCTCATAAAAATTCAGTGATACCAACATTCCAATATGCGCTGATACCGTGTGATGACTGTACACTGCCACGCTTATGAACAAACGCAATGAAGGAGGGTCAGTTCACACAGAAAAGCATTACTGTCTCTGTGGCGGTTGGACACAAAGCCGTCAGTCCCCTTGACACATTCCCACAAGGAATACACTTTGTGATTTAAGCCCATTTTTAAGCACACAGTGACCAAACTCCACATGTAAGCTCCTCGGATGTGTTAGCCCCTGATGTGATTCCTGCTGTCACTGTGCTACAGAGACTGTTGTTAAAAGAGATAAGAAACTATGAAAAGTATGTTACTTACCGCTGTACAGAAGCCCTTTTCTGACATTGAACAAAACCCACTCTTTTCCAGTGCAGCACTACTCAGTCCAAGGTAACTAATGTAACAATAGCTAGCTAATGCACTTCATTTAAAATCAGCTATACTGTAATGATGTGGCGGCAATTCGTTATGGTATCAGACTCTGTATTGGCGAATACAAAAAACATGTACTCGTCTGAAAAAAATAAACGGTATCAATGCATCTCTAGTGTAAAGTAGTATAAACAAATACAGTACTGTGTGTGTGTGTGTGTGTATGTATGTGACTGACATGCGCTGAAAAACTTTTGCCCGCAAGTTCTTACTTGCTCAAATGTCAGGTGGCACAACCAGAAACAAAGGCCTTTTATTTTGATATGCTTTAATGAAAGAGGGGCCAGGGTCTTGCATCATAAAGATAACTCCAAGTGACCTTAATGGTGTAGTGCCATGGTCAGTAGTCCATGGTCAGAATGTTTTAGTTTACCATGTCAGATTGTATGACTTCAGGAAAACCATGAAAATGTGTAATTATTACACTAATGTTTATTTATTTGAAAAAAATGCAAGTATAAACTTAAGTTCAAGCACAATAGTTTCTACAGGTGTCTAAGTCAATGTCTGTTTAATTTTGAATTAATCTGAAAAGTCAGATGCCACAACCAGTAAGTCAAATGGTGCAACCAATTAAAAGCTTTGATACACTAACTAGATTTAAAATATAACAGATATGGTAGAGATATATATATATATATATATATATATATATATATATATATATATATATATATATATATATATAAATATATACACACACACACACACACACACACTCATTTTGACTGGAAACTAAATAAATGAACAAACTGTCTCTGACTGGTTTAATGTTTGTCAGAAAGAAAGATAGAAAGACATACAGACAGAAGATATAGTCTGACCTGTCTGCTGAAACTTCCTGCATGGTTGCTTTGACCGTTCCTCTTGTAAAATTGCAGCAGCATCTAAAAACATAGATATTAAGAATCTTAATTAAAAACACTTCAGCTGAGTCATCGGAACACTTATCATTAGTAAGTAGGTAAGGTAAATCAAATTATGTCTCTTTGCAAGGTAAAATATTACAATGGATAAAGCAAAAAGGTAATTCTGAAGTTATCCAGTAAGGCTGTCTGTCTCTTTGCCGTGTAACCTACTGCAAAGTAACGTTAAGGTTAAAAGTTAGATTCAAAGTTACCTCTGAAGTTATCCAGCCAGGCTTTTTTGGATCTTTGGTGCTGAACGCCGTTCAGATGCTTCTTCCTGTTATGCAGTGTATCCTGAAAGCTACGATCACAGTAATCGCAATAATACCGCTTTCCCATTTCGTACTTTAATGATATACTACAAATTAACCAATGCACAGACTCATCTCTCAGAAATATCAGCGAAGAAAGTTAGACGTGACCACTATGCCTTGCTCAGCCTTTATTTACAACATGGAGACCCTGTGTGCGCATGCGCAGGAGTGAACCTCCTGCCAGTGAACAGCGCCCTCTGATGCTTCATGGCACGAATAAACTGTGGCCTCAGTTCAGACCATTGACCTCTCTCAGAGGTCACTGAACAGTTATCATTATTTGATCACATCCCTGAAAATGCTCTACCATGTTGGTCAGCCCAAGTCCTTTCGATAGAGCTTGGGAATGTGAGGTCATAACGCAGTGCTTTATGGGAGATCCTCTTGTGGAAGGGTTCAGTCCTGCCTGGTTTAGAATAGTTAAAATTTTCTACCAGCTTTTCTTGATTTTGGCTGATCTGTAGCTAATGGTCTCACTAAATACGTTTGCAGAGATAACTTGCTTTTTTAAAATATCTACAAGACTACCAGATTACAGATCAGATAAAAATCAAGAAAACAGGTCAGAAAGGAAGGTTTAATTAGCTATTCAGACGCAGCTCTGGTGAAACAACAGGCATCGCAGAGGAGTGCAGATGAACATCAAGCTCATAGATTTAATGTAATAAATATTTTATAATCTAGTAAATTTATCACGTCATATTATTATTTACGGGTTCCTCTACCAACACATGACCTTATTACCTAAAGTAAAAAGATGCCTTTGAGTAACCTTTAGACTTTTAACGTTGTGAACTACATCCAATGTCATTAACAGTAATAATAATAATTCATAAAGAAGTTAATAAACACACGAAAACTACTTAACACACGAAAACTACTTACTTAAAATTATTTCAGTGCTTATGTTTAAAATCAAACTAACTACACTGATTATGCACTTTCAGGCATAGATGGCTAGTGCCAGTGGCCACGGGCTCTCCCGTTGCAGACGCCGATGAGGAATCACTGATTATACAAATTAATAAATAAAAACAAGATCGCAAGGCTGCGTTTTTCGTGTGTAAATAATACATACATTTATTATTTATTTAATGAATAAATACGCGGTCTTACAGCATTTAGATTTAGTATGGATAACACATCACAAAATTAAGTAATAAGTACGTCTGTAACACAAGCTGTTTTCGTTAACTCTGTGCTACGACAAAAGCCCCGCGAAGAGTCTATATTAAAGCTAGTACCCCTGCTATTGTTGCATAACCTTTGGCTAAAGCGGCTCAATTCGCTTAAAATCGTCCACCCAACAGCACCAACAAAATAATAGACTATTTGTACGAAGTCTTCAAATCGACATTCCTCTGTCAGTTTTCCTAGGTTCGGATGGCCCATGGTGGTGTATGATGTGCTGGTCGTGCCACTCGTTACGAGTTACTGATGGCAGGTGCCATTCGCTAAGTGGCACATGCCAGTACGTGCCATCGCTGCCAGATGCCAATCAGGGACTGAACCCTCGGTGGGATATGGGCTTAAAGTTACTTAAAACTTTAGACCTACTTAAAGGAACAGGCACTTAAGGCTACACCAGCTAGGAAAAAAGTCTGTGAATAAAGGAGGTAATGTTAGCTTTTTGATTGCAGCGAACCTACGTGTGAAAGAGGGAAGGATTCCCGCCACCACTATGTCACTGGGGATTATACAACAGTTGGTTCCGGCCACGCAAGCTGATTGGTTGAGAAGCGTTCTAACCGTGCTGTTATTTTGCCATAACATCACGGGTTTTTCACAAACACTGTATCACTCCGCTGAGACGCGGTTGCTAAGCAAAGACTTTGACAGCCGTAGAAGAGGCTCAAGCCATTTGAATGTTTTTACTTCTTACTTTGCGCACAAACAGAAAATGGGCATTTTTTAAGATTACATTTGACCTACAGCCGATTTGGTCAGACTCTGAAGATGAGACTACACTAAATTCCCAAACTATCAGTTGGTCTGTGTAAGGAGCTGGAGAACGAACTGCCGCCTGTGCAGTGAGTGAGCGGAGCTCGTTACTCTGACGTAGCAACAAGCTGCTTGTTAAGGAACTATAATTTTGCGGAAGGAATTGCTAAAATTAAAACATATTAAATGCCACGTTCACGGCCCAATTTATTTATTTATTTCTTACTTTATTTGTTTAGCTGTTGTATAAAAGCAATAGAACACTCCCTCTCGTGTTCTATTGCTTAAATTTATCATTATGTAGCTGTTTTACATTCTTTTGGAGTTGGTTGATACACCCCTCTTCGTTTGATTCAATAAGAAACATGACAAGACTGAAAAAAAACACTATAAAACGGCAATCTCTTTAATCTCTCACAATCTGCAGTAAACAAAGAAGAATGCTTCCAACGTGGTGGAATGATCCCATAATGCAGTGCGACGTGACGTTGCTGCTGAGTCCTAGGGCTTGCCGAGGGCACTCGTGTGTGAACGACAAAATGAGAATGGGATACCAGAGCCGGTTTATGAGGAGCCTGGCCACTTCCTATTCCCCCCCGTTATATTAAAAACAGACTGCCAAACAGCAGAGAGCGCCCGTGAGTGAGTCCTCAATGAATGGGAGTAAATAGCGCTCAACTGCTAAAAACGAAAAGTTAAAATAGTTTCTAATCACTTTTCCAGAACGTTTCTTTAATTTTAGGAAGTAGAAGGATGTATTTCACTAAAAAAGCAAAGAAAACTTACCTAGATGTTTCTTTTTTTCTACAGCAAACGGATTTTGGGCAGGAGGAGGCGGGCGGAGCAGCTTGGCGAGCGGAGCAGCTCATTGGCTGTCCTATAGTTAGAGTTTAAAAGCTCTTAAAAATATAACAGCGGTTAACATGTTTTATGCTGTTCAGTGTTCAGGAAATGATTGCATTCTTTTATATTAAAATGTTTAAGCATTTATAAACTATGATTTTGCTCAAATGCTCCATATCAACCCATTCATTTTGAACTCACTCGGGAGCTCCCTCTAGCGTCTGAAAAACCCAGAAGACATTGCAGAGTGGTGATTCTCATCTCTACAAGTTCTCTGGTGATATCCCATGGCTTTGCGCTTCTCGCGGGCACTAGTGATGTGATGTTAGCAGACAGTCCGGTTCTTTTCAACGGCTCTTTGGTAAGAACAAAGGGAGCCAAGTCGTACTTGAGAGCCGTTCTTTTTATCGTGCCCAAATTTCATGGCCTGCCCTAAATCCACTCCACTTCCCATCAAACAGTGAGAACCAGCCAGTCAAAAGAAATAGACAAGAGAACTTGTAGTAAGGAGAATTCATAGATATACATACCTAGATGCCGCATTGGGTCCATTCAGGCACGTCAACATTTTGGGGCAGTCAACATCGCTGCTGGACTGCATTCAGTATCATTACAGAGCATCAGTTAAAGAGAGATATTTTGCCCTCAGAAAGTGGGATAGGATTATATAACGCACGTTTGTGTGATGTTTATATTTAGATATGGCCATGTGGTTGGTGAAGCCCAGAGAAGCTGTTGATGTGATTCTTTTTCCTCTGGCTTTATATTAAGCTTATTTAATTTAATAGTCCGTGTAGATATTCATAATAGATTAATGTTATTCTCACATGAAGCTAAAGTCAGCTTCTTATTTGCCAGGTTCTTGTTCAGATGTTCCCGTTCCACCTTAAATGGTCCATCAGCCAGCTTTTGTTCGAATTTTCCCGTTCCACCTTAAGTGGTGCAGCTTCAGGCACCAGAAAGTGACTGTTGCACCATTTAAGGTGGAACAGGAAAATTTGAACAAGAAGCTGGTGAATAGGTAACCAACTTCAGCTTCGTCCTTCTTACCTGTGCTAAACTCGGTTTTTAACGTCAGGTGCAGACTGAATACATTCCTGCTGGTCCGGATGGATAATTAGCACGAGCACTTATTAAAGAAATAAAAGCTACCGAGAGCATAAGGAAGTTGTGGTTGATTTAATTCTGAGACTCATCATCTCTCAATACAAGTGAATTTGTTCACAAGCGGATCTTGACCGTTCCAACATGGCGGACTCACAGACGTATTGCCTCAGATAGAGAACAACAGACAACGCAGCACCTAAGTATGTTTGTCTATGGGAGAATTACCATTCTGCAATGTCTTCCGTGTTTTCAAACACTAGAGGGTGCTCCAGGGCAAGTCCAAAATGAATGGGTTGAAATGGAGCATTTGAGCAAAATTACAGTTTATAATAGCTTAAACATTTTTAATATAAAAGAATGCATTTCCTGAACACAGAAAAGCATAAACCATTTTAACACCGCTGTTGTATTTTTAAGAGCTTGTGAACTCAAGTTATAGAAGTTTAAAATGGCGCCTTATGTGCATCCATGACATTAGGGAACATGATCAGCTGATGAGCTGCTCCGCTCGCCAACCAATCAGCATTCAGTAGCAGTAATGCTAGCGTCCTTCTGGCCAAAACCCATTTGCTGTAGAAAAAAGGAAACATACAGGTAAGTTTTCTTTGCTTTTTTAGTGAAATATATCATTATACCTTCTAAAATTAAAGGAAAGTTCTGGAAAAGTGATTAGAACCTATTTTAACTCTTTGTTTTTAGCCGTTTAGTTTCATTCACTTCTATCCATTGAGGACTCACTCGGGGGCGCCCTCTAGCGTTTTGCAGTCATGTTTTTGAGATAACTGGGAAAAATAGGAAGAGGTCAGGCTCCTCACAAAGCGGCTCTGAGATAGAATAGACATTGTCACGTTAGTCTCCTTAAAGGCAGAATGAGTAGGATTTGTCAGTTGCTGTTTAAACACACCTTTCAAAGTTGAGCCTTTCTGGCTCAATGAGTGTGTGATGAGGGAGAGCGCAATGTTGGTTGAGCAAGTAAGGGATTGAATGAAGAGAGGGAGTAACAATATATTGTTTTCTCTGCCTCACATTACAGGGAAGTTTCTGTCAAAGCAGCACGTGTGTACAGACCCCAGGGCAGTTTACTAATCCACTGCAGGGGATATAGTAGTAATATCTGTATATTTTTTCTATTTTATTTTATTTTTCTTTATTTTATCATACTTGAAATATTGTTCAGAAGTTGGCTTTAGTATAGGAGTTTTGCAAAAAGTATTATTATTTTCATAAGTTGTTTGACTATTAACTTATTTTATTTATAAATGTTCTCGTGTGACGTTTTTTTTTAGATAATTCTTCGTCTGATTTGCACTAAAATCTGTTTTGCACAGAAGTTCATTATACTTGGTTTTTGTTGTATCAATAAAAAGTTTTCTAATATTAAGTGTTGCTTGAAATTTATTCAATGCTAGGCAGCTTTATTTATATAACAGAGAATAAATTAGAAGTAGTAAATTTAGTAGTAATAGTTCACCAACCAGAAATATCCAGCCAACAGCACCCTGTGGGCAGCGTCCTGTGACCACTGATGAAGGTCTGGATGACCAACACAAACTGTGCAGCAGTAGATGAGCTATCGTCTCTGACTTTACATCTACAAGGTGGACTGATAAGGTAGGGGTGTCTAATAGAGTGGACAGTGAGTGGACACAGTAAACTCCAGCAGCACTGCTGTGTCTGATCCACTTGTACCAGCGCAACACACACTAACACACCACCACCACATCAGTGTTACTGCAGTGCGAAGAATGATCCACCACCCAAATAGTACCTGCTCTGTGAGGGTCCATGGGGGTCCTGACCACTGAAGAACAGGGTAAAAGGGGGCTAACAAAGTATGCAGAGAAACAGATGGACTACAGTCTGTAATTGTAGGACTACAAAGTGCACTTTTGTAGTAAGTGGAAAATGTACAATGAGCGTCGAAAAAAGGAGGTGGTCATAATGTTATGCCTGTTCGGTGTATCTAGGTGCATATGTACAGTTTGTAAGTCCTTTATACACTCCCCCCTCTAGATGGCGCTACTAACCCAGCCATCTCTCTCTCTCTCTCTCTCTCTCTCTCTCTCTCTCTCTCTCTCTCTCTCTCTCTCTCTCTCTCTGCCCCTTCATCTCCGCCTGGTTTTGTTTTTGCTCCTAAATCATCGCGGCTCTGCCCGGTGGCCGTGCTCACAGACCCCCCCACCCTCCTCCTTTTATAATGTCCCTAAGTGGCCGTGTCCTGTGTCTCTGAGCTCTGCTTCTGCTTCGTTTTAGTTTTGGTTTTAGTTTTTTGCGTGTTTTTGTGCATCGGCTCTCCGATTCGTCTCCAGCGGCGCACCGCCAGCTGTGGCCCCGATGGCGAAGAACACGTTGCCGTCGCGCTTCAGAAAGGTGGACGTGGACGAGTTCGACGAGAATAAGTTCGTAGAGGAGCACGATGAAGCGGCCGAGCAGCAGGGGCCGGACACCGCGGAGGTTGACAGCCTCATCAGGCAATATCCTGTGTCGGCTGTGGTTGGTGCTCTGATTGCTGGTTTGGTGTTGCTTTGGTTTTGACTTGTTTTTTTGATCTTTCCTGAGTCGTAGAGCTGCTGACCTCTGCAGCGGCCTTATCTGAGCTAATGAGCACTGTCAGTATACAAGCTACCAGTACACAAGCTTTCAAATAAAGTTCATTATAATTGTAGGGTTGAACCTGCAATAAAACACTAAACATGCTACTTGAATATGAAATATCAAACCTTAGCAATTCATAGTGTGCTGATTGTCAGCGCTAAGGGGAACACTGCGAGCACTGTCAATACTGCATTCAGATTGGGGTCATAGAGAGTATAAACATGTTAAACACAAGTAATTCCTTATGTGCTATGCTATTCTTCACACTTCTGGTCACTGTTTTGCTCTCAGCGATGTAGGCTAATTAGCTGGGCTTTTGGAAATATTGGGCACTGTCACTACTGCAGCGCGATTTCAAGCTTTTAAAATAGGCGAGGTAGTTGTAGGAGGTACGATACAGGTAGAATCTGCATTTAAACAATGAATTTTCAAGTTCAATATGAAACATATCATGCCTAAGTAATTCCTGGTGTGCAGTTTTGGTCGCTCTGTTGCTCTCTGGCATTTGGGCTAATTATTTAAAGCATAGAAACCTGGAAACTGCAGTACATGCTTTTAGATTGAAGTGCCGATAGTATGGGACAGAACTAACGTTTAGACTGAATGTCCTCGCTGTCGGAACAAAACCTCACGTCTCCAAACCAGAATCTTTAAGACAAAAAAAAAAGACATTCTTAACTTATAATGGACGTTACTGTAAAAAAAGTCCAATATTCCAATTCCAAATGATTTTGGATCATTGCTATCATCGCTGTTGGTGCACTCATTATGATTTGTTACACAATATAAAGGTCAGCTGGCGTTTTCAAAGTATGTAGAAAAAACGACGAAAACAGAGATAAAAAGTTTTGTCCAAGTACTGTACTTGAACATGAAACATCAAACTTCTTGGAGTGCTGATTTTTTGGACATTTATGACCATTCTTTAGCACTGGCTGCTACTAGTGTGAAGATAATGTCCTGCTCCATAATATTTAGATCTATTTATATAGTTTCTTCCTCATCTGTGTACTGTTTACTAGCCATTCACAGACAAGAACAGATTGTGTTTTTATTGTTGTTTGTCACTTTTAGTCTTTTAACAATGACTGCAAACTTTAAGGTACTTTGAAAAATATTTAAATGTTTTTCTTTTTGCGGTTTCTTTTAGTTTCTAGATGTAGAAATTGAATCAGTTTTCAAGATTGGTACAAAATTTCTAATTCAATCGTTAAGATGTAAACAAAGTAATTAAGAGTGCTTTGATGTGATGTGCATTTTAAAGAAACCAGTTAACTCATAATTCTTCATAATGGTGGTAATGGCGAGCAGGAGTCACAATGTCTACAGTGCAAATGTAGCCATTTTACTTACTGTTCATGACGATCAGTGAACCTCTTTTTGAATCTTTGTATTTAATGTTCATAATAATAAAGTAGTGATGAATCGAAAAATCCTTGAACTATTTTACCTTACAATGAGATGAATGTATTTAAGAAATAAGTAAGCATTAGAATAAAACTGTACAGTGTCTCAGGCATAAGGCCATATATTCATAACCATTTCATGTTATAGCGTTTTGTAAGGTAGCTTTTAGTTGCGTTATATTTCTGGACATCTAGTTTCTATCACCACCGCTGTAAACAGTTCTGCATTTCACATCAAACTACGCTGATTGTCTTTATTTACATCCTAATGTTTTAATTATGCAGTGCTTTTGACTTGTCTCCTTTTAATAGTCAAGACACCAGACTAATCTGAGCCCTCAACTGTATATAACCTGTTCGAGTGCATATGTCTGTTTCCCATCTCACAAAAGGGAAAGAAGGCAGGGGCCTGTGGAGGTTGTGTGGTCACATGATGTCTTATGTGGTGCTATTGTTAACAGTAAACAGACAACAGTAGCATCAGTGGTAAAGCTTCACTGGGTTGCACTGCATTTTGTGCTGCACCCATATGCTCTGACTTGGCACGCTTGGTACGCTTGCAGGAGAGGTAACCAAAATTTAGCATGGGTACTCAGGTACAGCACGGTTCAGTTGGTAATGAAAATGATGCCAAAAAGTGATCATGGTTTAGTAACAGTGCCATACTGTACCGTACTGCACTGCCCAGTGGAAAAAACATGCTTATTAAGCCTATTGAAGTCATTTTAACAATGCTTGCCAATACTGTGCTAAAGAGATGCAACTCCATCACAGAGGTTATTACTGTAGTAAAGGTGGAACAGCTCCCTATCACTACTTTTGGTTTTGGAAGAAACATTGGATAAGCAGGTGTCTGCCAACTTTTGGACATGTAGTGTAACTGCAGAACTGATGCTTGCATTTGTTTACCATCTCATGGTGCACACAGAAGACGAATGACCTAGTTCAATATGATTTCATTGTCAGACTCAGCTGCCTATTGTCTCTGCTATAAAGAGTGTGATAATATTGAGTTTATTAAAAACTTGACACCCAAAGACCATCGGCTCATAAAACTTTACCTAATGGCTGAAAAAAGCAGTGAAGGATAGTTCTTCTCTCTCATTCTGCTTTCCTCCACAGAACTACAGTACCTCTCATTATGTCAGTTCTGCTATTACTCTCTCCTAGTTTTTGTTTTTTAACCAGTGTACAGGGGCAAAAGGCCAGAGCACACTGACACAGGATTTACGAACAAACACAAACAGTCTGTTGTCAGCAGTTGTTCCCATGTGAACATTTTAGAATAATGTGGATAGGGCTGCCACTAACAAATCTTTTTCTATCAGTTAGTTGACAAATCTAAATGATTAAGTTTTCTTCAAAAAATCTAATTGACCATTTCATTTAAGTTCCTTTTATTTTGACAACAACAGATGGTCTATCATTGTATAATGCAGCACAAAACGAAATGTAAACAAAGGTTTACATATTAAAGTGCAAAACTGTAGTTTTAAACTGGCAACTTCAGCATGATACAAAAATGAATAAAAAAGAGGCTTTATTATTTATGTCAGCAGTGAAATATCAAAAGAAATCCAAGTTTCTTTGTATTTATAGGATTCCTCACACAAAGAAATGTGCTTAAAATAATGGCAGAAATAAAATAATATAATAAGATAAGATACATGTCCCATCAAGCGCAACATGCATGAACCAACACACTGGCACCGTCAAACAATGCAAAATAAGCCCAGTTTCTAGCCTAAACATTTTCTCAAGCACTTATTCAGTAGAAGTTCAAGGACAACAGATTTCTAAAATCTCTCCCTACTAATGGTAATTCAATAAACACAAAGAGACGACAGTTAAGGTGGTTTTGCCTTTTCTCGTGGTCCATCATCCCAAATAGTGCCTACGTGTTTTCTGTTCAGGTGCTTGTGCATCGCGCTAATGCTGCTGTGGTGTACCATGGAAACTTTGCACAGTGTACAGACCACCTTTTTGTTTTGTGCTAATTTTAAGTACTCTTATAAATATAATACTTGTATGTAATACTTTTGACGCCTTGGGTCTTTGGAAGCTTTTACAAACCTCTTTCGAAGCTGACTCGGATGCTGCAGCCACCATGATTTTTTTAAAACTGTAGCATTGGCAAATAGCAACTGTACTGTTTTGGGTTGTCAGTCAGTGGCAGCAAGTGAATGCCCATTGTAGGTGAATTTCTCTGGTTTGCATAGGGATGTTTTTCTTCCACCTTCCACCTCTATAACCACTGTACCTGTATGTTTAGTTCCTGCTGCTGATGATATCTGGCAAAGCACCGACAGATTTGGCTAAGCCATTGAGCTAGGAACCAGCAGTGCCAACTGAAGCTGGCATTCTTTGGAGAAGGGCTGATGTTATCTAGTGTAGCTTAGTAGATAACAAGGTCAAATTATCATAGGCATCTACATCCAAGCTAGAGGTGATTCTCCTGCTCTAACAATTCTACTAACTACTAACTTGGTTATTAACTTATAAGTTGAATCACATGCTTGAGCCTGGAAGTCACCACACTGTGCTAGAGCCACAACAAAGGACCCCTCATTGAGTACTGACCATCATATTTATTCCTTAAATCACACTTTTTTTTAAAGTGATAGTTCTGCCAGAAGTCAAACTTGCATACTTTTACCCTTAGCCCAAATGTAGTCATCAGTTCAGATCAGTTTGGTATCTGAAGATTGCTTCTTTAATTGCAGTGAAGCTATGAACTAACAAGTAATGAAAGCATTTACCCATCCATTGTTATCAAACTAACTGCATACCAAAATCATCATTCATTGGTCGCTTACCAGGTATCTTCCCAGGTATCAGTATCTGGCCACTATCAGCAGAAAATGCTGGGTCAGATATTGGAGGGGAAAGTCCTGTAACAAATCTAGTCTGAAATAGTACACACTCGCATTGTATTTCTTTGGGTTGAGTAGTAGAGTGGGTAGCAGAGTTGAGAAGTTTGAGCATGATGGCCTACTTTTAGATGTTTCTCTGAAGTAATATGCTTCAGTTGAAAAATACTTCATTTTAAAGTTCAGTTGTTTTTAGTTAATAAATCCGATAGTAATCCCGTATTTTTAATTTTCAGAGATAACTGTTATACAGTGTCAGAAACCACATAAGCAATAGCAGTTTGTACCATGCAGTAGGTTTTCAACAGGCAAGTCTATGCTCAATTACAGGGGTGCCCAATACATCGATCACACAGTGCACCACAGATTGCGCCTCCCTCAGGCAGGCTATCAAATTTCAACACTGTCTTACTGTTTGTCGCGGTTGGCAGGTCAGTGTGATTGATGTGAAATGTGGCCACTGCCTAAATTACTGCTGTTATTAGTTAGTGTTAGTGTTGCCCCTTTGTTATGTGCAACCTACACTGACTCTTTCAGAAGATGATCTAGCACAAAGAAACCGAAAACCTACCTCTTACATGCAGAGCGGGAGGAGGACTTTTT